ATATTTAGGTGCAATTTTGGGGGGCCGGGAGAACTAATTAATTGGTTTTCCATTATTTCTTATGGGAAAAATTCGATCAGAACTCGAACTGTTTAGGATTCGATCCGGAGTCCGGAACGGATTAAGTTCGAGAACCGAGGTACCACTGTATCTGCATGTTGATAAAGTTTTACATTGTATATGGAAAACAGCCATATAACTGCAGACTGGCATTTTTGATAGATTTGGATGGAGATATCTAGTTTGTTTTGTTGTTTGTTTGTTCTCCTAATATGAGAACTTCCATAAATAGAGCTTAGTAATTATCTTTTGAAGTACTTAGTTAATCATCTTATCACGATATTTTCAGCTTCATTTGGGAGGGAAATAATGAAATGAGCTTCTCCCTTTCTTGATACACTATGGTTACATTAAATATTTTGTCTTTCTAACAGTCTGTGTAATTTGTGATTTTCTCTTAACAAAGTGCCGAGGATCACAGCTGATTTATGCACATTCTTGCCACGATGGAACTTGGTTAATTATGTTTGGACATTGGGATACCTGAATCGGTGCATAAAAACATTCTAGGTATCAATGAGTTTGGGATCATGAGGAGTTTTAATAAGGATTTACTTCACCTTTTAATTTCCTGCTTCAACAGAGCGTTTAACAGAAGTCAAGACTGACATTTTTGTGACGAGCTTTGGACCCGTATCAGACCATGACATGGTACGTCCTGCTCCTTTATTCCGCATTCATGTCTTTTTACGCCACTGTTCATTGTCTTCTGCATGGGTTCTGCAGATTGTTAACCTTCTGTTTTGTTTCACTGTTAGGAAGAAAGTGATGGAATTGTCTGGCCTGCTTGCATGTTGCTTTTTCTGGACCTGATAACCATACAGCTCCACACATATGGGCACTTATCCAACTCCTCCATTCTTGGTTAATGACTGTTATGGTTTCAGCATTGCTTGAAGAGTTACCTGAAATCAGTTGTTTATTTGCCACATGACTACACATGTTGGAGCGCGGCAGTACTGCATAATAGTAGTATTTTTCGTAGTCATGACCTTCATATTTTGCCATTCGTTGCCATTTCTGAGTTGAAGTGCAAATTTCCTAAACTCCCTCAGTCCATTTGTGTTGTTTTTGAGATGAGACCACTGATGACCTAAAGTCAGGCTCCCTCGTCACATGTTACAGTGCTGGGAACCAAAGTTATCTTTGGTAGTCTTCATATAACCCAACAAAGAAGATCGTTACATTTGCAAAACTCATCAAGTCTACAGAAATTTTCTCTAAAACATATTTTGGAAATTTGCTCTCCACTTTTAGCAATTTGAGCAAGTTTTTAAAGTAAATTGGTTCATGCTGTAGCCTTACCATATAGGCTACTGTTCTTCCTTACCCCCTCGTACAGTATACAGTATCGCTTCCTTTACAGAACTCTAATTACTCAATTCAGGGAAACAACAGCCGGCAGCTGCCTGGAAATTGAATTCAGTTCTGTACAGTACATACAGTACAATATAATATGTTCAAGTCCTAATTTTTTCATACACATTTAGTACTACATTTACACATGGGTCACAAATTAATAGCTAATGAAGTCCAGCTAATAATTCCCTTTCCTCTAAGATTGGTCTCTCCTGCTAACTCTGACATACTGTGTTATTTTATGCAACGTAGCACTGACATGTCATTACTAGTGGGGCTCCAGGCGAATCCATCACATGACGGCCTTCACTGCAATATTAAAGGGATGCTCCAATTAAGCACTGTAATCTTGGTGAAAGCCTTCTTAGCTTCTTCTCAGAGTTCCTGCCCTGGGAATAAATAGGTGGTACACACTTACCCGGCGAGTCAGAGTGGCATGCTGATATGCTCTTCTCGATGTATTAAAGCCCTCCCAAGGTTCTAACGAAAAGGCTGAGCCTGACTCTTTTGTTGCCCGCACAGGAATATACTATTGATGTTTTTTTCCGGCAAAGCTGGAAAGACGAGAGACTGAAGTTCAAGGGGCCGATGACTGTGCTGCGTCTCAACAATCTGATGGCCAGCAAGATCTGGACCCCAGACACCTTTTTCCACAACGGAAAGAAGTCCGTGGCTCACAACATGACCATGCCCAATAAGCTGCTGCGTATCACAGAGGACGGGACACTGCTCTACACCATGAGGTACCAAGTTCAGGGCTTGAAATCCCTCCATTTCCCCCCTAACTGCTCATTATAGAATATCTGACAGTTATAGATTTGAGTTCATGGCTGGATATCAGTCAGCATGTATAGGGGAACCATTCAGTTTACATACTGTGAAAAAGTCTTAGGCAATCACGGAAATTTATAAAAATGATCCTCATTTTGGTGTAAAACAATACGCAGTTCATATCGTGTCTGTCAAATGTGTCAGCTTTGCCATTTGAAAACATCTCCTAAAATAGCCACCGTATTTGCAGCATCAGTCCAACACACCCATGTATTTCCTGGCCTGACCACTAGCACCTTGTCTGGCTAATCAGTACCTCATTGAGTTAATTAGCAAATCAAGTTGATTAATTAATTGAGCTGGTGGAGAAATTTAGTGAATACATGGAGTGGCTGAGGTGGCCCTGAGGAGAGGTTTGGGAACCAAAGCGGAGTTTACCTAGCCGTCCAAGAAGATTTCAGCAACTTTTTGTAGAAATGAAGAAATTCTTATTTTCATTGTGTTACTGTTAATTTGCATATGGTATAATGTTAAATTGTGGTTTTTTTTTCTGAGCAAATATGCAATTACTACCAAGATGAACAGTCTTGATGAATAGCCTGACCATGCCTAGGATTAGCGGTTATGACAAATAGATGGAAGATCCAAAGGAGTTTTGGGTCCAGGGCAATGTTTGCCAACCCTGTCCTCAGGCACCTGCAAACAGTCCATGTTTTTGCTCCCTTTCAGCTCCAGGTGGCAAAAATGTGGACTGTATGGCAGACAGCTGGGATGGAGTAAAAATGTGGACCGTCTTGGGGTCCCTAAAGACCAGGTTGGGAAACACTGGTCTAGAAAAAACAAAGGATGTTGCATTAAGTCTAGAGTGCAGCGCCATCCTGTTTTTGTCAGGGTCATGTGAGCTCCTGAGGTGCCCATGAAGACCTTGTGTGCATGGTACATAACACAATGGTATCCATACATAATGGTATATAATGGTACATAGCGGTACATGATGGTATACAATGGTACACAACAATACAAAATGGTACGTAATGGTACATAACGGTATGTGACGGTACATAATGGTATATATAATGGTATATAATGGTACACACAAGAACATAATGGTACATAACTTTATGTAATTGTACTTAACAGTACATAAAGCATGGCCTTGTGACCTTTCATTCTCCCTGCCTCCAGGCTGACTGTGCGGGCGGAATGTCCAATGCACTTGGAGGACTTCCCCATGGACGCCCACGCCTGTCCACTAAAGTTTGGCAGCTGTGAGTGCTCCTTCCTACGTCTACTGCACACACATCTACCGCACTGAGAATGAGGTTTGAAGAAAGAATCAGCTTTTGGCGCTCAGATACTACTTTCCAGGTTGCATGTAAAAGCTACTTTGATCAGTCATTCATGCATCATCTCAGGGGGGAACCTGAAGCTGGTGGCAGGGTGCGAGCAGCAGACTGTGGATGAATCTCTGAGCCCTGGTTACTCCCGACAAGGGGAAGATTCCAGCCTGTGTTTCCCCAAAAGGGATGTGGGAAAAAAAAACAAGGAGCCAGGGATGGAAAATGAGGACAGTAAATGAAATGAGTTTGTCTAAATGTAAACTTTGGATCCCTAATCATTTCCCTGTCAGATGCCTACACACGTGCAGAAGTTGTGTATGTGTGGACCAGGGGGGCACAGCAGTCTGTGGTAGTTGCTGAAGATGGTTCCCGCCTTAACCAGTACGACTTACTTGGACAGACAGTGGACTCAGGAATAGTGCAGTCCAGCACAGGTGAGTGTTCTCTGGGTGAGTGTTTGTGTGAGTGTCCCCCCGAGTGAGTGTCCCCCCTGAGTGAGTGTCCCCCCTGTGTGAGTGTCCCCCCTGAGTGAGTGTCCCCCCTGTGTGAGTGTCCCCCCTGAGTGAGTGTCCCCCCTGTGTGAGT